GAGAGGAGTGAACTGGTAAATATTACACTGTGATTTTTGCATTATGTGTTCCAAATTCTAATTATATGAGAAAAGTATGAAACAATTATATAGTGTAGTAGCTAGTAAGCAGATCTAGCCATGTGGCTATAGTTATTCCAACTGTCCTTATAATACGACATTMATTTTTTAAAACTAAAAAAGTATAATATACTAAACATAAATTAATTGGGTTGGGAAAAAATCACTTTATCGCCTTTAAACATACAAATAATTATGTTCGTACATGTGCAGTGTTTCGAATGCTCGTTAAAATGTATATTCAACCGGACTTWTACACACATGTAACATTGAAGAAATCGTGTGTAAACGTTTCTTCAGTGCRTACATAACAATATCGTATATATATTATAATATTAACTACGTACTTTGTTAATATTAACTGCCATAATAATATTCATTAACCGAGGAATTTTGTTTAAGTTTAAGTTCGTAACTTTCGATTTGGTTGTATGTATACGTATATAGATTATGTATAATATTCGTMTTTCCTAATTGAGACAATGAAATTGCTGACATCTAATGCGAGCAAAATGCACATAACATAGAAATATTTTACATTCTGCAGTCGTTTATCGTCTTCCTCTTCAGAAAAATAATAATAAAAATAAAAATAACCTTATACCAGCTTATACGAAACATTCGTGCGACAAATAATCGAGAAATGAAGACAAAATGTTTGAAAATATATAGTTTTTGTGGAGTGGTGTGTYGTGGTGCACGCATGCATGCACTACATTATTATTATAGTCACAATCACTTGGATTACGTTCGTAAGCACTTATACGACGCGTGTTATTTTATCAAAATAGTTATTGTTTAAAAAGCCAGAAAGTAATATGTTCCATTATCGATGTTTATTGATTTGTTTTGAAAAATAGAAAACTGTGAATTGCGTATCTTTGAGTATATAATCAGAAGTAATCAATGTTATTACATATCAATAAAGCAGCGTGAGTTTTTATTAAATAGAGAATAGACGTAAAATTATGTAAAAATAAAGTTGACTTATAAGAATTTTGTGATATAATTAATAAGTGTAGAGGGGCAATACAATATTGTTTTACATCACCGCAGGTATCGCGAACAATTTTGAATATAACACAGTATTTTGTTCATGGTCCACAGTCATTGGCTTATGATTATTATATGATTATATTGACAGTCAAARATATTAACCTAACCATTTCTGTATTTATATATGTATACTGTTTATTGAATGAATATACTGTACTTAATACGCAATATCAAAGTAATTGACCATTTCTGGAAAAAATTATGAATATTCTCCGAGTTTCTCATCGTAATGTTGGAAAAAATTATTTTTTATTTGTAGTACCTACCCATAAAGAATGAGTTCAATGACAGTTTTTCAGACCATCATTGAATAATTTAGTCACCCACTCCACACTCACACGATATCATCTGTGGTTGRCGAAGTAGCATTTTTATTCTATAATACAACAGGACCTRGTGTTACTATTTTTGACATGCTATTTATATTTWTTGGCTGGAGCAGTGTATAGGCAATTTTGGTTCATCAATGTGTTGGTATTCAAGTTAGTTAAATCGTATTTTTATTATTAAGCCTTACCTCTACTATAAAACTCCTTTTTCTTTATTTTCTATTTATAGCCAAGAATAATATTAACATTCCACAATATTTATTTATTATATTTTGAATTCTTTTTATATTTTATAATGAAATATAATATATTATAATATATWATATTACACTATTGTTTAATCTATATACAATACATACGAGTACAAAAAAATATTTCTTTTATTTCTATAGACTCAAATAAATAAATTGTTTTCCAAAAAGTTATTACAATAGATCTCTCGAGACTTTGAGGATGTTTATAGCTTATTTTTTTAAGTCCCCATAGAATTTTATTTGACCCACACTAATGCAATATTTGTATGCTTATTTAAATGGTTGCCATTCGTTACATATTATGTTATGTTACTATTGTACTATTGTAATTAGTTGAAATATGGCATAAAAAAAATCTCAAAATCAAACACTTAAATGAATACAATTTATTGTGTTAGGTTAGTTTAAATTACAACGACTAATTCTATGATTTGCAATCATGATTTAGTTTCTTATAATTCTGGATATATTTTTGTTGTCAAAACATTATAGAGACAAATACCAATATTATCGATGTTGGACTTACGTCAATTTTCAAGGAMACATCAGTGCACTGTTTGTTTTATCCCTTTGATCCACGCATAATGTAGACAAAACGTAATCACTCAGAATATTTTTTTTTATGTTTTTGAGTAATTTTAGARTAAAAGCACACATTATAAAAATGATAGAGTATAATAGTTTTGAAAGCATAACATATCTATTTGTCTAAGTATCTATATCGAAAGGATTTACTCAAAAATTAAATTTACAATTTTTCATTTTGTTTTTAAAGTTGAATACAAGTTCAAAAAATAGTAAAATATAAAACCGATATGTCATACCCTTAAAAATATTAATACTTTAAGATGATTCAAAAATTATAAAAATGATTTTAAGTGAAAGCCTTATATCTATGTTGYGCGTTAGTTTAAGAAAGAAAACTAATATTGCACTGGCGTTTTCTTAAGCATTTGTTGAATTTGTCTCGTGTTACATCAAAAGTATGTCAAAAATGTAGAAGTGGAAAATCATAAAATTAGTTATTGTAATTGTGTATGTATTATTTATTGTATATTTAAATTGAAGCAAAACGGAAAACTATAAAAATATGAATTAAGTTTAACTCAGGTCGGCTAATATAGCTAGTATATTATAAACTGTAATTCGTTTAGTTGTATTTACTTAAAAGCAAAAAAATGCAATCATAATAAAAACTTTATTGATTGTTTTATATTCTCATTAAATGTTTCATGTTTATTGTAATGCTTCTATAATAACCGTTGCCAATGAACTATAGTGACGTTTAAGTTGCAAATATATTTGGGCATAAACGTTTTGCTGTCAAACATTATTAAAACTATCGTTATCGTGTATTAGAATTAATTTTGTTCGTGTTTATATTGCAGTGGTCGATTGTTTCACAAACTTTGGAATTAGTTCTAGTTTTAATTTCACAATAAATTAAGATAAAAGCTTATAAATGTATATATATAATATATATATACACGTGTTCGCGCTTTTTATGTGTGTAATTACGCGCGCGGCTCGATCACGCTCGATTGACCGCGTAGTATGCCATACGGTAGACGAGATCGGGGTGGRCATCCTCATTGTGTCTGAGCCAGCTACCAATCAAGGCGTTACACAGCACTTAGCCACGATGGCCGRGGCTCCGGCAACGGGTTTGCTTGGCTGTCTTTCCGTGAGCTGACCATTTTAAGCTGTTATTTCAGACCTGGGGCCGCACTGCCGGAGTACGGACTCTTCCTGGACGACCTCGAAGCGGTGATCCACGTTAGGGGAAATGCCTCGATAATCCTGGCCGGTGACTTCAATGCCTAGAACGTCAATTGAGGCTTAAGTTTCGAGCCAAACTCCCCGCCGATGTCTACCCCGGCTGGTCCGTGGAGAATTTGGACGTTGACGCTCTGCTTGGTCATATTAACAACACGCGCCTAGGAGCCACAGTCGGAGCCGCATGCGCTGAGAAAGCCAGAAAGCCCTGTCCTTGGCGAAATCGCTTGACGCTTTCCTGCTTGGCATTCATGCCCAAGAAAAAAAACGGGTCCTCGGGGCAGATGACAAATGTACTGGTGGTTAGAGGAATTCGTTGAGCTGCGGTGGCAATCCCTGGCACTCTGCAGGCGCTACCAAGCCTGCCTCAGACGCGTCGGCTAGCTTGGCGTCCGGGAGGTGAGTTGCTCCTACATCGCTGCAAAAAGAAAGCTTCGTATAGCCATTCGAGAGGCGAAGAGAAAACCTGGGCTGATCTTGCGCTCAGATCRACACCGACTCCTGGGGCAGACCATATAAACTGGTAATGAAGAAACCAGGCTCCCGCAACCCAGCCACAGACTCCACGGGCAGGGAAGCCATCGTTGCCGACTCCCTGTTCCCGAMAGCCCGCGTCACAGATTGGGGCTTGACTCCTTCTCCAGCGGTRCCAACATCTTCTAGGCATTTGACCCGGTGATGAACATGCTAGAGTTTACCAGAATCATTCCAAGATTCAAGCCGGAAGAACTTAGTAGAGCARTCGAGAGGCTCGCACCGGGAATTAGGCCGGACCTTCTGTGATTTCAACGAGATCCTCAGGGCCACCACGTCCACTCAGCCCGGTGCAGTCCTCAGCGTTTTCAATGACAGTCTCGACGCGCTGACGTTTGCACCATGTTGGAAGAGGGCACGACTGGTGCTGCTCCGTAAGGGCCCAGACAAACCTCTGGACGCACTGTCGAGCTATAGGCCGATCTACATGCTGGACACCCCAGGCAAGTTGCCCGAGAGGCTCCTTCTCCAAAGGCTCGAGGATCATCTGGACAAGCACGGGGGAGAAGAGCCCTGAACCAGTTTGGCTTCAGGAAGGGAATCAGCACGGAGTCTGTAATTGGCAAGGTACTCGGCAACGTCGCACATGCAGCCACCACCCGGAGAAAGAAGAGCCTCTGCGTTATGGTGATATTGGACGTCAGGAATGCCTTCAAGTCCTTGAGGTGGCCTGTAATTGACGCAGCCTAGAGGCGCATCAACATCCCGGAGTATCTAGTGGAGATACTCCGGTCTTGGCTGACCGATAGAACGCTGCTGACTRACGGAGAGATGACGGAGAGGCCAGTGACCTGCGGAGTGCCGCAGGGTTCTGTTCTTGGCCAATTCTTGTGGAACGTCACTTATGATTCCCTCCTGATGACGGACACGCCACCCGGAGTGAGTGCAGTTGGTCGGCTTCACGGACGATCTCGCAGTCGTGGGAATGGCCGTGACCGGACAGCTACTTGGAGACGCGATCAATCCCACACTGATGGCCATCGACGACTAGATGTGGAGCAGGGGCTTGGAGTTGGCTCATCAGAAGAGTGAAGCGGTGATCCTGGCACGGAAACGGGCGTTTTTCTCACCCCGACTGACGATCAACAGCCACCTGATCCCATTGCGAAATGAGATCAGGTACCTCGGCGGACTCGGGGTCATTCTAGATAAGCGTCTGACTTTTGCAGCCCACGCGAATACTGTCGTAACGAATGCAGCCTACTCAGCCGCTACTCTGTCCAGGCTTATGCTGAACATAGGCAGACCGGTTCAATGGAAGAAGAGGCTGCTAGCGTCTGTTGTAGAAAGTCAGCTGTTGTACGCAGCTCCTGTCTGGATATCCGCCATCACAGATGTCACCAGAACCAGAGCGATCTTGATCCGTCTACAGAGGACGCCACCATGAGGGTGATCCGGTTGGACCAGGTTTGATCAGGACCGCTTTGGTTCTGGCCTGTATGCCATCCGCCGATCTACTCAGATTAGAGAGACGCAGTATCAGGTCTCGACTGCGCACCGTATTGGAGCCCGGTGAACAACTGCCTTCCAAAGCAACCGCGAAACGCGAGGCGTGAAACGCTACGATCGGTGCCTGGCAGGCTAGATGGCTAGCAAGCTCGAAAGCGGCATGGACGCGTTGCGTCATCCCTGAATTGGGGAGATGACTAGGAAGGATCGTCCTATGGGTGCCTCTGACGTTCCACATGATATAGACACTCAGGGGCCATGGTCGTTTCCAGTGGTACCTCCATCGTATGGGTAGGGCCACCCACCAGTCCACGTTGCTGGCAGTGTACACATTACTCGGACACCGCTGAGCACACGTTATTCCAGTGTGTCTACTGGGAACGATTCCGGGAAGCACTAACCTCTTAACTAGGTCATGGTCCGAGCACCATCGACGTGCCCGACATGATCTGTGGTTCAGTGTTTGAGACTCTGCCGCCGGATCCAACTGAGAAGCACGTGGTTCTTAAACAAGCGGAGGAAGTTTTCAAACTTTTTTATCGAATGGTGGAAAACATCCTTATTGCAAAGGAGGATGAAGAACGACGTTGTCAGGCCGCATAAAGACCTTCGAATTCACCGAACTAATGATTGCGTAGTTAAGTTTCTTAAAAATGTAGTAGGAGGCAAGCTTTCGAGTATTATTGTACATAACTACCTATTGTAATAGATGTCGAACGGGAGATTGGCCCGTCGCAGCTACGTAAATGTGTAATTGGTTATTAATTATTATCAATAAACGGGAGTTACCTGTTTCCACCAAAATAATACTGGCCGTTTCCGCCATAGCCCTTTTCTGCCGATAATTGTTGATAATCGTCGATACGGAATTAAGTATACACTGTATCATAGTTTATTTATAATTCGCACCCAATAATTATCTGACTAATGTTAAATTCTTATATTTTAATTCAGTATCTGTTCTGTTCGTCATCAGTTTAACAACAGTTAATACGATTTTTAAAATGGAATTCGTTAATATTTTTGTGTTATTTTTAATTATTTAAAAATAACGATATGTTTTATCAAAACTCTATTGAGACTAAATTTGACCTATACTTGTATTATAATTTAAAATAGTTAAATATAATGTATTATTATTATCTACTTGCATAATAATTTATAATAATAAAAATATTTTTATATGATAAGAATATATAATATTTGTACATGGTTCCCAAATTGACGGAAACGTCTTTTCACAAAAATAAATTTTGGCGGAAATTGGAATTATACCTTTTTCGTTTTTGGCGGAAAAGGGCTATGCCTAAATCAGGGAACCGGTTTTTTGGCGGAAACGGGCGATGCCCCCTCCGGTTCTCGATACTAATAAAAAAAAAGGTTATAAGCATATATACAAATTTAATACTTTATACATTTAAGAATACAGTATTAGTTTTATAAATGTTTTCTATATTTTAGAAAAATAACTTTACTTCTTACCCATTATAGTGTGCGTTATAGAAATTTCATATTACATCATAAAATAATAATAAAAACGTTTCAAAAATAAATATTGACTCACTGAAATTGCTTTTGTCGGCTTGTTCTGAAAAAAAAAAACAAGATATACTTTATTAATGTACCATTTACAATGTTACCATTTAAGTCTAATGCCGTTTCTACAATACCTCTCGATTGAATTCTATCTAGGTCTTTTTCCATTCAGATTTCCATCAAATCACTAATAGCTTAACCATTTAATATAAATTATAATATGATTTTTATTAGGAATTTACTTCTTAAAAACTACATTTTAATTACTTAGTCATCATCAAATTGTATCATTTATATTTTTGAAAATCACGTATTTTATCATTAGGTACGATAAATATATTTATTGGTTGAACACAATTCAAAATATATTAAACTAAAAAAGACGCTATATTTAGAAACTTAAAAAGTTTGTTAAACATAAATTAACAAAATTACATTGAAATAATAAAATAATAGTTATATTATAAATACGTTTAGTAGTAATAATAATAATCACCTAGTAATAAATTGAATGAGTAATGGGTCTTCGTTTACTAGCATTATTATTCTATACAAAGGATTATTTTTTATACAACATGTTGTATAATGGGAATTGAAAAGTAATGGAAATAGTGAAGGTAGCTAGGATGAACAAGAAAATTGATATAATCACACTGATAATATTCGAGCCTCTTTATAGAGTATTAATAATTTTAGACAAAAGTCAAAAATACAAGGTATAAACCCAACTACTGTCAGTCAACGATTTCACGATAAGGATACAGAGAGCAGGAGCCTGAGTAATCAATAATCATTTATTGAATTTAAATTTTTAAAATAAAAGTACAGAATTTTAATTAGAAATTATATATCATTATTTATTATATATTTATGTTTAGTCCTAAAGTAATGTTAAGATGTAATAGTGTCATGATAAATTATACATTATTTTACTTTTTTAGAGTGAAATTGAAAATTTTATAATTATATATTTCAAAATAATTTACACCTTTGGAATTATTTTGCACGAGTTTGGGAACCAATGGAGTGTTTGGATTTATAAAAGTATAATATCACCAACATTAATGTTTATAATGCCGAATTCAAAGTAAAGTGAAACACTTAACAACTAGGTAGCTAAAAAATCGAAGTAGTATCTACGATCAAGTATGTACAAATTTCATTATTTCAGTGTAAAATTTAAATAAAGGTTTCTAGTATTATGCTGTACTTTGATCCTTTTCTCACTAAATGTGAGTATACCACGTTTACTTATGAATAATACACGTTGTAGCAGTATTTTTATCATCTAAAAAAGAGCTTAAGGTTTTAATTCAATTGATTTGTACGAATTCATCATACATTTATTTATACAAGTAGGATTGGAAAATTGACTTGACGACTTGATTCATGATTTAATTTTAAATAATTGCATTAAAAACCCGGTAAGAGTAATTTTATTCATTCAAGAATAAGTAATAATATAATTGCCAGCCAATAGTTTTATAAAAATGATTTTTTATTTTATAAAGCTTTTATATAATACTAACTGTATTAAAATATGGTAATATATTTAGGTACCTACTCTTACCAACTTATGTATAAATCATTTTAAACTTTTAATTTGTCGTATAGCTTTCAAAATTTATTTAAAAACATTTCAACAAGTACTCAGTTATAATATTGATTTTACAGTACCCAATCGTAGATCAAATTATATTTGACTAAGTTCCACAATTATTATAGATATTTCGTAATTCTGCAGTACCTAATTCTAAACACAGCGGAAACAAACCCTTTAGATGGTGGTCGAATAGTTGAAATATCAAACTAGTAGAACATTAAGTATCCTCTGTGTGCAATGWGTGATGTGTATACACATATACTGCCTTGTACTTAAAGTTGTAAAATGTTCCATAACTTAATTAAATTATATTTTTATGATAGTTAAAATAATACATAGATGTCAAAAAACATAGATTTGTTGTATAACAGACATAAAATATATTTAAACGTATAATAATCAAATTATACATTAACTACTAAATATGAAACTGTTAATTACTTAAAAAATATCTCTTTAATGCAATTATTCACTAAATCAATAATAATATAAAMAAATCAATTTATGTATTGGAAATGCCATGTATGTAGTATGCACTGTCTTTTAATTTTCACGCAATGTTAAAAAAGTTAGCGTTCGTGTATAACGAACATTTCCTTTTAAAATCCAAAACCACGTAAAAATTTTAAAAAGTAATAATACCATTACTAAAAAAGTAATATTATTTATTGAACACAATATTTATTATTTATTACAAACACAATGTTGCATTGTTGAACAGAGAACTATTCCCTGCAAAGCTATTATTTTATGAAAAATATTATTTTTTCTTTTCGATGTACCTGCATTGCATTACGACTTTAGAGTTTTATGCGAGTGACAAAAAAGTTATTGAAACCGTCAGAAATTGGTTTTTGGAAAATATAAATTACTTMTATCCGGAATTAAATATAGAAATAGCAAATATTATTGTGCGTAAAGGAAAATAATATGTGAAGTAAATATCGTGTTTCTTTAATTTATACGAACACACGCGGAGATAATAATGCGCAGATACCGTGCATTGGGTAGATCGAATTTCACAGTTAAACATGTTCAATATTTAATGTAATCATGATGAAAACTATATCTCTGGAGTATTACAAATACGAAATTCCTTAGTGTCAAAATTGCAGTTTAGTGTATGTAATTAATACCGACAGACGACAGCAGTGAATGTATATGTTATATATCATTATGATAATTTGTGTGATATAGTGTGTATTAGTGTTTGAGTAATAATATAACATACTGTACACGTGCTGGGGTTTATTTATGGRCCCGTTGCTTGGGCACCTCTCAATATTCAATCTAAGTTCAAACCGAGGATTGTAATTTCGTCGGTGTACAATAGTAACCACAAACTTGTATATTATAAYATTGTAGAACAACTTGGCTATATATATTATTAATTTCCGTTTTCTTGACATCAGCATTATTATTAAACAAAAAAAAACAATAATTATGCAACTGTTTGGTAATGGGTTCAATGTTTGTTTAAGTGTTTGAGCCATTTTAACACAATAATAGAACAGTATATTTTCATCGATTTTGTTTATTTTTTTAGTAAAATATGTATTATGTATGTATTATGTAAAAATTGATCGATGTGTTCTCTCTGCGTAGAAATCAAGTCATAATTAAAGACGTTCAATAATCATTTTGTAAAATTAAATTACCTAAACGACATGTATTTACCATCTACAACTACAACCACCAATAATCTAGAACTACAATGTTTAGCTCCTAAACATTGTGTATTATAGGTATAAGGTAATATTATTTATTACTCCATAAAAACTTCTATCRTTGAAACGAGTAAATAGCACGTCGGTTGGAACTTGGAAGTATAATATAGTTCGAAATAATGATGAAGAGTGATGTATGAGGGGTGAATTTTCGTGAAAACCGTTAGACCTCTCGGTCCGACCATTTATAAAATATATCGATCGATCGTGTTAGAGGTGTACTGACGAATAAACACTATCAGTATCATTATACATCTACAAATAATTATATAGTAATTATGAAAATAATGTATCTACCAATGTCTATACATATTTATTTAAACAGTAAATATCATAACAGTATTTATACAACTAACACACAGACATACTATCAAACGTCAAAGCATTTATTGTCCACCAGTCGAGACCGTCCGGAGAAGACTTGACGTGTGATAAATGATATGCTATCGTGAAATAATAATATTAATAATAWTAATAATATATATAGGCTCATTCGCTCGAACGTGTGGCGGCTGCGTGTTGGAGCCGGATATATATTATGAAGTTTAGTAATAAAGACTCCCCAAAGAGGTGTCAGTCACGTCACGTCATAACGTCGTGATATCTAATATCCCGCGGGTCTGAAAGGAGCGGAAACGCTCCGCTACGAAAAAGTCGACGACGACGATGGTAAGGCGGGTGTGCCCAGACCACCATGTACGATACGGGGTGGTGAAAGGGAAGGACGTCGGTCGGTGAGGGTTTGATATTATTATATTACTATTATTATTATGTAACGTGGTCCCCAAAAAGAAAGTATAAGCCACGCTGGTCTACCGACGGTATTATAAATAATAATATATTATTATATGTAGACGCGACTTGTGCACCGACGACGGTTTTTAGCGAGACGATATTATAATAAAGTCATCGTCGTCGAGAATTCCGGGTAGCACGATTGAACGATTCTAGAGGCTTTCACATCATTTACTCGCGTTGTCATATAATTGCCTCGAATTAAACGAACAAAAACGTTTCAAGTTTAGTGGGCGATTAATTTTGGAGACTTCGTGGAAAACGCGACGCAAAATCAAAGATGCTGTACGTATAATAAATATGATACACAGCACAAAAATATTGTTGGCACTTCGGCGAACGAAGTGTGGCGAGTGTCGGTATAGCTAGAGTACAGCTATTCTGTTCATCTGCTGTGGTCTACAGTAAGTTTTTTTTTAATAGACGACGCGAGACATTTTGCTGGCTGAATAAAGCAGCTGTGATATATGTACATAAGTGTGTACATTTATAGGAATGTAATTTTTCATACGTTTTTTAAAATTTCCACCATCGATGTTTAGTCGATACTTTTTTAATTGGTGACCTGATTGTCGTGCCAATATCGATCAGATAATGACTCTACCATGGCATTCGAWATCGATAAAAGTACGACAGAAAACAACATAAAATATATGGTCAATGGTCATATAGGTACCGATTTATATTAGAAAAAGCGGGAAAGTGGGTATCGCTCTGCTGTACATTAAGTGGTGGGGTCGACCTCTGACTAGGGTAGGTTAGACTTGAATGTAATGATGGGTATAATTGTATACGAAAAACGATTCTGAACGGAGATGATTTGTCAGTCTAGGATATATTATATTTAAATATTGTCATATATTTTATTTTGAAACAAATATTTTATTTTTCAATTAACACGCATTTTGCATATGGCATGGTTAATCA